CTATGATATTGAGATTAATTTTAGCTGCAGATATGTGTGGTTGAATCCTGATTCCGAGTGGTGGAACCAGGCTTGGCAGGTTAGGAAACAGGTTTTCATGGAGAGGGTTGAAAACACAATTGTATGTTGGATTTGACTGATTTTAACGTAATTTAGTGATATACTGCAGTGAAATTGAATGCGGCGTTGTTCAAGGGAAGGTTCGTTAGCCTCTGCAAATAGACTGCCTACCGGGGAGGTCCTAAAAGCTCCCAGGCAGAGCCTCAGGCCTTGGTGGTGGATAGAATCCAATTTTTCTAAATTGCAGGCTCCACCATAAACAATGGAGCCGTAGTCTAGTTTAGAGCGAACCGAAGATCTGTACAAATGAAGGAGGGTAGTCGGATCCCCCTCCCCACTCTGTATTTAAAACGACTTTTAGTAAGTCCAGAGCCTTCAAGCACTTGGTTTTCAAATATGTTATGTGTGGTAAGAATGGCAGGTGACGGTCGAATATGAGTCTTTGATGGGAGTACCATCTAAAGATAGGTCTGGATCCGTGTGTGGTTTGTATTTACGACAAAAGTGAATACAATTTGTTTTGGATTTTTAAAACTTAAAGCCATTTTCATTGGCCCATTTTTGGATTTTGTTAAGTCAGAGTTGTAGCTGCCTTACTATTGCGTGCATGTTCTTACCACGACATGAAATATTGAAATCGTCCACGAAAAGGGACCCATCAACACAACTGTTCAAGACGTTAGTGAGGCTGTTAATTTTGATGCTAAAAAGGGTGACAGACAGGATGCTGCCTTGAGGGAAGCCCTGATCTTGGTGGAAATAATCAGACAATGTGGAACCTAACCGTACTTGAAATTGTCTGTTGTTTAAAAACGGAGATATGAACTGAGGTAATCTGCCTCTCAATCCAAATTCATGTAAATCTTTTAAGATACCATATTTCCACGTTGTATCGTATGCTTTTTCTAAATCGAAAAAGATAAATAATGTATGCTGTTTGTTGACAATGGATTTTTTTATAAAAGATTCCAGACGCACCAGATGGTCAATGGTACTTCGGTTCTATCGGAAACCACACTGGAGGTCACTAAGGAGGTTATTGGTCTCCAAGTACCAGATTAATCGTTGTTGACCATGCGCTCCATGGTTTTACAAACACAGCTAGTTAGTGATATAGGACGGTAGTTTGAGGGATCAGTATGATCCCGGCCAGGTTTTGGTATAGGGATGATAATGGCATTGTGCCACGAAGGAGGAAAGTTGCCGGTTGTCCAAATGTCATCAAATATATTGAGTAGTGTTTCCAGACTTGAATCAAGGAGGTGTTTGAGAAGCTGATAATGAATATCATCAGCTCCTGCCTCAGTGTCGTGAGTCTGCCCCTCACCATTATCAGAGTTACAATTGACTGATTTCTTTTCTTGTTGCGTTTGGTATTTCTGGAACTGGGGTTATAATTTGTGGAAGAGGAGTGGTTTGCCAAAGTTTCGTCAAGTTTATTTGCAATTTCAAATTTATTTGTTAAAAGAGAGTCTTTGAGATGGCGAACACCAGATTTGGATCCTTTGCCCTTAATCTTTTGAATCATGTTCCACACCTTGGACATGGGTTTGCGGGAGTTGATTTTGGACACATATTTCCTCCATGACCGGCGTTTAGTTTGTTTAAATGTACGTCTTGCCCTGGCATTTGTCATTTTAACGGCATTCAGGTTATGCACAGTAGGATGTTGTCGGAAGTATTTTTCCGCATCTTCCTATTTTTCCTAGCTTGTTTACAGTTTATATCAAACCATGGTTTGCGCAACGTTAAGACGTTTAAACGTTTTGACAATTCGGTGAAGTGTGAGGTAAGACGATTCTTTTCTTGGTAACTATGTAAGCTCATTAGAATGTGTTTAAACCTTTTGTTATTCAAATAGAAAAATAAAATGAAAATGGTTTGCATTTTTTCCATACTCAATTTTCCATTGAAAATTGAATACCGTTCCAAAAATGGGACAATATGCAGCTGAGTGTACTTAATTTAGGTAATTGGTTAGGATTAGGTGTGGGAGACCAACCTCTTAAACCTAAAAATGACTGTTTTCATTTGAAAGCTTTCACGGAATAATTTGTGTTACCAAATTGAAACCTGAACTTTCGTGGCCATTCCTGGTCCCAGAAGATGATTTTTCTGACGAACTATATATCATAGCTGATGTTCCTTACATACGAAAACCATGGTTTAACGACAACTGCCAACAATCGAGGAAAGCACCTAAAAAGGCTGAACAGTATTTCCGTCGCCATTCTATGGTCCATAATCTAAATAGATACGAAAGCTTGAATGCAAAAACGAGGCGTACGTTTGAATAAAGTCTTGGCAAAATTATGAGTCAGGAATACATTTACGTAAGCCAATGTCCAAAGTATGGAATATGATACAAAAAATGAAAGATAAGGGTTTAAAACTAGCCTCCACCACTTTAAAAATGAAATATTATCAGATACTTCAGATATTGCAAATAAACTAGGCGAAACTTTGACTAACATCCTACATAACTAAATTTCAAAATTATCTAAAGCACTTTTAATTCTGATAATTGGGAAGATTAACATGAAATATTTTCTATCCATGAGCTTCAAAAGGTTCTGGAACAAGCTCACGATATTGCTGCAGGAACTGATAACATTTTATTATCAACTCCGGAAGCATTTACCAGAATCATGTTTAGATACTCTTTTAAATACTTTTGATAGTATTTGGTTGTCAGGAGAATTTCCTTCTTCATGGCGTGATGCTGTAATTGTTCCAATTTCTAACCTGGACGTAACCATACTGATTCTTCAAGTTGTCGACCAATTTCACTAACTAGCTGAGTTTGCAAAACCATGGAACGCATGATCAATAATTGATTAGTTTAGCACTGAGAAACCAAAGTCTACTTACTGGCATGCAATGTGGTTTCTGTAAGAGACAGAAGTACAAATGATCATTTAGTGCGTTTGGAATCGTTTGTTAAAAATGCGATAATTAGCAAAAACATACAGTGAGTGAGTGAGTGTGTGTGTGTGTGTGTGTGTGTGTGTGTGTGTGTGTGTGTGTGTGTGTGTGTGTGTGTGTGTCTCTCTCTCTCTCTCTCTGTCTCTCTCTCTCTCTCTCTCTCTCTCTCTCTCTGCTCTCTGCGTGCCTGCGTGCGTGCGTGCGTGCGTGCGTGCGTGCGTGCGTGCGTGCGTGCGTGCGTGCGTGCGAGCGAGCGAGCGAGCGAGCGAGAATGCACCTACCTTAACCTGCAAAATAACCCTGGACCCGTCTGTGCATATCGTCTCATTTTGGGACGCACTTTTATAGTTTAAAGAAAGTACGGAAAATATATTGACTGCTAAAACGGCACCCATTCCTTTCATGGCTTGCCAAAAGTAACTGGCACACAAAATTTGATGAAAATCTAAGACCCTATGCATATATGTGATACAATTGGTAATGTAAGAATACATTGTTCAAGAGGTGGGGGACTCATTAAGGTAGGTGACTAGACAAGTACTTCACGCCAAGAGGAGTATCACATTTATAGTGAGAGGACGCAGATTTGGACTAGCATCACGTCAGGAATACTTTCTTTCTAGGAAATACTTTTCGGACCTACATTTGTTATTAGTGTCTTTATTGTAATACAAGTTACGACTAATTTGTCTAACTTTGCTCAAACAGAACATTCGTAGAATGTCTGGTAAGAAGGTGTGGTGGTGGGTTTAAACGCTGTTTTAACGAAGAAAATGTCGTAATATTTCTTCAAAACTTTCAACGTGGACTACAGTCTCCTGTAGAACACCGATAGTAGCAGTATATAAAATGATTCCAATATGAGACGTGTATCTGAAGAATTGCATGGCTGATGGCAATGGAATTCAAGCATATTAAATCCATCCTCATGTTGAAAATGTGTCATGGTATTTTCAATCAAACTATTTCAAGACAATATCAAATATGATGGTTTCCAATGAAGACCTTGAAACAGATGTTTATGCAATATCAGTCGACAGCACAATGATCGATTTGTATGTTCAGTTCCACAGACTTCGTTCAATATGTCGCATTTTTCAGATCTATCAACAATGTAATAACATGGATCACGTGTAATAAATACTGCACTTATGTAACATACCTGGTGCTGCAAAGAGTAAAAACTAATTGAAAGTAAGTAGAGAACATTGGTAATGCTGAAGTTAAACATTGTCATAATTGAGAAATTATCCTTAATTTGTTGCTGATAAGCTCATCCCAAGACCTTGGATATAGCCCAATATGGAAGAAGGTAGGTTTGTCAAAGTCAAAGTCAAAGGCAGGTTTGTCTACAAATGCTATCATCAGTCAGCTTCTCCATATTTGAATGATCTCATTCACAAATATGTATCAATTATATCACTTCGATCTGCCGACCATCATCTACTTGAAGTACCAAAGTACAATCTGAAAAGGTTTGGATATAGATCCTTTTCCTGCTTGGCTGTCACTTCATGGAACTCGTTACCTCATCAAATCAAGGAGGCAGAATCCCTTGACATTTTTAAGAGGGACCTCAACACTATCTATGTAGGACTTTCTATGACTTCTGAGCACCCAGTATAACCCGCCTATGACATTTTGCAGTGACTTCACTTTGTTTGTAGCGCCATGACCTAGAATAGGTCTTCAGCAACCCATGCTTGCCACAAAAGGCGACTATGCTTGTCGTAAGAGGCGACTAACGGGATCGGGTGGTCGGGCTCGCTGACTTGGTTGACACATGTCATCGGTTCCCAATTGCGCAGATCGATGCTCATGCTGTTGATCACTGGATTGTCTGGTCCAGACTCGAATATTTACAGACCGCCGCCATATATCTGGTGTGCGGCGAATATTGCTGTTGATCTTGTCAATGATGTGATGTGATAAACAGACACCATTTGATTATTTTAGTAATTTGATAACGATTGTAATATTTATAAGAATCATACCTTTTAATCAAGAAAACAAAATGGAAATATTGATTCATTAACATTCAGTGATCTACACGAAGAACTGGTGGGTCACACAACATAGTGTGAATATCAGCAGAGCCACTGTGATATGAACTATGTGCAATGGAGTTATGGCTTTTAACTTTGGCATGTTTCTTTGGTCTCATCTTAACGTCTTCTGACTAGCCATATTTCTGTAGAACGTACATCAGAATCCTTGACTAGCTAGACTTAGGTAAGAGGTTTATCAAATTTTCTGTCAAGCAAGAAGTCTGTCGGGGTTACATTATCCTCCCCGACTCATATTCCTGGAATCATGTAAACCTTTTTCGTCGGGTTACCCGACTAGCTGGACTTCTGTGCGCCGTGTGTCATAATGTCTGACAAGATAGACTTCTGTAGATGGAACACTACATTCATTGACTAGCTAGACTTCTGTCGGTGGTTCGTCAACGCTTCTCGACTAGCTAGACTTCTGTGGGCGGAACGTCATAATCCCTGACTAGCGGCATGCTGATCTGCCGCCGAGGCCCGCCCTGAGAGCTAGGCTTGCTCCCTCCCGGCTTCATCCTGATAACTCTCCGTGAAGGAATGGCTTCAGGCGGGCTCACCAGCTCCATCCTGTCTTCTCGGAGGTAGTCGTTAACATGAGCATAAGCTATCTTCATCTCCCTCGTCATGTCAGGGCTTGACACTCTGGATCTGGTCCTTGTCTTCACGTTGGAGAGGTTCTTCCTGAGAGCCTGAATTTCTTGTCGGAGAGAGTCGATCTCTGCATCTTTCCAAACCATTTTCTTGTAGAGATGTTCAATTTGGGCATGGACCATCGCGACCTGCATTGTCAGGAAACGGAGATCGGTTCTCACTGACTGTTGGTTCGTCTTGTGATCAGATAGAGTTGGAGTGTCTCGCGTCAACACTTCACTGAGTTTCTGTATTTCCGACAAAAGGTTGGTCTTCGCCTTGTCCTCCTTCTGAAGATAGCCCTTGACAATGTCGGTAAGTGTCTTGTCACAGTATTTTGATTTCTTTACTCCAAGCAGAGCAGACACTGCCTCCTTCTCGTTGGAAGCAGACGAAGCATTCTCACGCCCGAAGTTAGCGAGCTGAAGAACCTTCTTTAAGTTCCGTTCTAGAAGAGTGACCTTGACATTGTCAGGATCACCCTCGCAACTCTCTGATTCCTCTCCAAGAAATGACCTCAATTGATGATTGATTCCTGCAATGTTGGAATTGAGCATATCAAATCTCTCCTTGAGGCGAATGATGGTTTTACTATTGGCGGTGTTAAAGTTGGCTTGCTTTTCGATGTCCGTTAGATGCTCAAACCTGAGGCGCTCTAGCTCCTTATTGAGACTCTGCACTTCAATCGTTAAACTTCGAAGTTGTTCGTCCTTATCCTTTAACTGTGCTTGGAGCTGTGCAACCTGGAAGAGAAACTATGGCCGTCAATAGAGCAGTTACACTGTTAAAATGTATTACGATCCAGATATGTTCAGGAATAGGTTTAAATCCTAAGCTGAATGTCCATTTGGTGTGTTTTAAAATCATGAAATTGGCTGTCATCTCATAACCGTCGATAATGCTAGCATAATCTCAAATGTTACAATTGGTATGTCTCCAGAAAGTGTAATCCCAAATATAACGCGTTACGTTTTGACCAATTACTAGATAGTGTGTGTTCGTGGCCTTCCTCCGTCCCAAATATGGTGATCAGCCTTCAGTTGCTGGTGATCTATAGCCCATTTTCATATTGTATTGTTGTTTATAATGATATCTTTTAATGATAGCGTACTAGTTTTAAATTAAGAGCTGTGATACTCTAGTTGTTTTACTGTCCTTTGATGACAGTTTTTATGTTCTAAATTTATTGATTTTAATGTTGATATAACTTAAATTGTTCTCGTCACGATATGGCTGAAATATTGCCGATGTGACGTTAAATATACACTCACTCACTCACTCACGCACTCACTCGTGGCCTTCCTCCGAAGAAGTCATGCCAATTTACTCTTGTCAAAGGGCTACACAAAGTGTAATTCCAGACATGACATGTTACATGTGTCCACTTTCTATATTTCATTGTGTAATCAGCAACCCATGCTTGTCGTAAGAGGCGACTTACACGATCTGATGGTGAAGTTCGCGCAACTAATGCAAGCCATCGTACCCCAAAGATCAATGCTCATAATGTAAATGACTGGGCTGTCCGGTCCAGACACCAGGCCGCCGCCACACAGTTGGAATACAGTGTGGCCTCAAGCAACAAGCTAAACAAACAATCAGACAGCAATCTTGAGGTCGGATAGCCAATAGTACTTAGTAAACTGCCCATGATAAAAGCAGACAATCAAATGACCTTGACCTAAAGGTTGACAGCATGATGAGTACCAAATGACCTTGACCTAAAGGTTGACGCCATGATGAGTACCAAATGACCTTCACTAAAGGTTGACACCAAGATGAGTACCTGAGAATGCATTGTTTGGATGGTTTCACGGAGGTGTCTCTCATGCTTGAAGTCGGCTGCTCTGGTTTTGATGACTTCGAGACGATCACCGGTCGCCGCCTGCCACGACGTCACCAACGTCTTCTCTCGAACCTGCAGATACAACGTTTTCAAGCGTCAATGTTTAAAGGCCAGAGTCTAAATGTTAAAAAACATGGGTTTCCAATTAGTCTCCCACTGGCTACTTCTCAGCAGTGTAGATGTTATCTGCCCATGAGTGACAGGATTCACATGGGGTAAGCCCCGTCTATATTTTAACCGGAAGTTGGTCGTCATCAACTAGCATTTCCTCGATAGACAGTCGATCCCGGTAGAGAGTGAGTCCCAAACTTTGTAATATTAGTTTGTATGTTCTGACAGAAGCTAACATCTTGACACAACGGCTACATAACCTCATTTAGCCTAAAAATGCACAATACGCGAAATGTATTTAATTGATTATGTTGTAAAGACGTCGAAAGTGGTCGATTTCTCGGCTTTTCTGATTCGCGCCGAAAGACGTACCAAGAAATGCTTCAAATGTACACAAAATATAATCTGTCATTGCCAAATGATATAGGGGTAATAATCCATGAATATTCAGTTTTTAAGACAATTCGATTTCAGAAATATTAACTACTTGGAAATATCAAAATCTTACAAAGTTTGGGACTCACTCTCTACCGGGATCGACTGTCTATCGAAGAAATGGTAGTTGATGACGACCAACTTCCGATTGAGCATAGACGGGGCTTAACCCCCGTGAACTTCTTTCTACTATCATATGGCTTATTATCATCATGAACCGGGAAGTCTATTTCTGGATATTTCATTGAATGGAATTGAATACTGCTTTGCTTTACCTCAACAGACAGCTTTTAAGAATCATCAAGACAATAGACTCCGTGAAGGATACTAATACAGGGTAACCTTGTTTAGAATTGAACATAGATCTGCCGTGCCGCTCTTCACGAACACACTTATAGCGAGTCAGCTAGTTTAGTTTTACTCCGCTCTTAGCACTATGCCCGCAATATCACGGCAGGGACACAGAAAACATGTTCAGCTAAAGGGGGCTGCGAGATGGCTAAATGTTGAGTGGGTCGACACGTAATGCGGAAAGACCAGGTTTGATTCTGTATGGTGACACACATGATCGAATGAGTGAGTATTGCTTAACGCCTCACCCGTGAAGGTCCGGATTAGAATGTGCCTTCAGTAACCCATGCTTGTCGTAAGAGGCGACTAACGGGATCGGGTGGTCAGGCTCGCAGACTTGGTTGACATATGTGATCGGTTCCCAATTGCGCAGATCGATGCTCATGATAACGATCACTGGATTGTCTGGTCCAGACTGGATTATTTACAGACAGCCGCCATATAGCTGGAATATTGCTGAGTGCGGCGTAAAACTAAACACACTCACTCACTTAACGCTTCATCAGCCATTTTGCAGCTACTCGCGACGAGGACACTCATGATAAAGTGTTACAGCTATTTTTGTGAGGGTGACACGCGGTCGTAAAATCACTGCTGAGGCTTCAGATTACTACAGTGGGCGGTGCCGGTCACATGTCCGCAGCTGTGATTGTATGTTGTTTTACGCCGCACTCAGCAATATTAAAGCTATATGGCGGCGGTCTGTAAATAATCGAGTCAGCAAGCCCAACCACCCGATCCCGTTAGTCGCCTTTTGCGAAAAGTATGGGCTCCTGAAGACCAGTTCTAACCCGTATCTTCACGGGTTCCAGTGCTGTGAAAGTACCATACTTTCTGATACTACGAAGACAAATGTGCGACAATGTCGACATTGTTTAACGTGGGCAACGCACGCCGGTGTACGTTTACTGAAATACGACAAACCTACATACAGAGGGCGTCAATTATGACTGCAACAACCTAACAGAGGAGGCGCGTTGAGCCAGGAGATGGTGACCCGCACGCCTACAGCGCGTAATTGGTAACGGACACCAGAAAATACGTTGTTATTTTTGGTTTCGACTGCCACTTTAGAGGTAAAATGAAAAAGTGTTGTATTATTCTTTCAACTTGGTGACTGACTGGCACGTGTTCTATGACCTTCAGATTGTATCCTTTCACAGAGTAAGCCATTCTTGGGTTCTTGTTTGTAAGCTCGTCACGGACCTTTTGTTTAGGGGTTGAGGCGAATAAAAAATGTTTGATAGAAATAATTTGTTCGCAACAGCAAAAAGCCCTCAGGACCTTCTATCACACATAATAACTGCATTTCTTAGTGAAGTGACCTCAAATATACCGAATTACTTTAAAAACGCATCATCAGTATGTCATGCTAATCGTGGAGGGTAACTATGCAAATAAAGGATTGCTAGCAATTTTTATTAAACTGTAACAATCAGCAAGATCCAGTTCACGAAGATTCATTCAATGACAGCGCAGGTTACGTTCGAAAGGACATGGGGGTCAAATGGAAATTAACCAGAAGATTGGAACGTGCAAATTGTCAGTAACGGGTATGCCCACCGTTGGCAGTAATGACTGTTTCACATCGACGTCTAAGAGAGAAGACGACCTGTCTCGTTAGATCTTGGGTATCTGTTGCTATACATGTTATAATGACGTTTCGAGTTGACGGACGTTGACTGGCGGGCGTCCCATTGCAATTCTATTAACGATGGGTGTTCAATGGGTGCTAAATCTAGGGAAAGTGGAGGAAAATCAGGCACAGCGATATTCTGTCGAGTCACAAAGTCCATCGTGTGCCCCGCTGTGTGTGCTCGGGCATTGTCTTGTTGTGACGTGTGTAGTCGGAGATGGGCGGCCATATTGGAAATGACGTAAGTCCGTAACGTTGAGACACACGAACTCGGCCGTCACCGTGACTGCTATGGAAACGGGACTCATCTGTGAAGGGTACACCGTGCCACTGTCGTCCATCGGCGATGTCTCCGAACCCACTCCAATCGACGCTGTCCGTGTGTCAGAAAAGGGCCGTTGAGGGGACGCCGAGCGTTGAGTCCATGTTACCGTTGACGACTTCGTACAGTTGCCAGACTGATAACACCTCGTCTCCCTCGAATGTCTGAAGCTTTACGTGTGGCAGGCAGAAATGGATGACGGACAGAACAATATGGCGATCCTGTCGGGGGTTGTCACACGTGGCTGTCAAGGACGTGGACGTTCGATGGTGCGTAAGCCTGCTGCAGACGTTGGCGCAGTCTAACAATATTTGAATTGTGGCCACTGAATCTCTGAGCCGCCAGGCGGGGAGATATTCCTGCATTAAGGCAAGGCGCCGCTCTCTTTCGCTCCTGAACCGATAGGCGTAGCATCGCAGTAGCGTCACTTGACGTTGGATCAGTTAATTGAATTACAGCTCGCACAGGATCCCATGTGATTGGGATAACCACCGAGTCACAAAGCACATGCATTTCGTGTAATTAACGTCAACGTTAAAGATCTTCTGCATTATCGCGTTCTGGTGCACTCAAAACAACTTGTGTTTCCCTTGACACCCTTTCGCGACGTTATACGACCCTACAATTCATTTTTCCCGTCATGAGCAGCTTTGATGAAAAGATTTGGGTGATGCGTTTCTGTGTGAAACAAAACTCTATTGTGCAACTAAATCTATTCACAGTCGAAACAACATGCTATTTCAAACCCAGCGTTGTTACCATGCTGTCCAGGCACGTGATCAACTTCTTCCGGATATCGTCTGGTATTCTCTCCAAGATGGCGGGAAACCGATTCGCGATCGTTTCCTCCATATCCGAGTAACTGGACTCTGAAATCAATCACAGTATCGTATTGATTTACGTCGATATTGTTTCCACAACGGTTCTAGACATTAACGCGCCTTACCACTGATATAAGTTGTGGTCGGGTCGTGGCAGTGTTTAGATAGATGATATGTGGTATGTGGCGTTCCTCATATCGTCCTACTGACCTTCTCAATATCAACCTCCGTAAATGATATCGGATAGGAATAAGTAGCCGATGCCAAGCAACACTCACTTCTATACCACTTCACAATGGCCAGGAAACAGTGGCTGGTGCCTAGCAACACTCACTTCTATACATACCCCTTCACAATGGCCAGGAAACAGTGGCTGGTGCCTAGCAACACTAACCTTCATCCCACATCACATCGGCTAGGAAACAGGAAACAGTGGCAGGTGCCTAGCAACACTAACCTTCATCCCACATCACATCGGCTAGGAAACAGTGTTCGGTGCCTAGCAACACTAACCTTCATCCCACATCACATCGGCCAGGAAACAGTGTTCGGTGCCTAGCAACACTAACCTTCATCCCACATCACATCGGCTAGGAAACAGTGTTCGGTGCCTAGCAACACTAACCTTCATCCCACATCACATCGGCTAGAAACTAACCTTTCGGTGCCTAGCAACACTAACCTTCATCCCACATCACATCGGCCGGGAAACAGTGGCCGGTTTACAGCATCACATCGGCCTTCATCCCACATCACATCGGCTAGGACAACATCGGCCAGGTGTTCGGTGCCTAGCAACACTAACCTTCATCCGACATCACATCGGCTAGGAAACAGTGTTCGGTGCCTAGCAACACTAACCTTCATCCCACATCACATCGGCCAGGAAACAGTGTTCGGTGCCTAGCAACACTAACCTTCATCCCACATCACATCGGCCAGGAAACGGTGGCCGGTGCCAGGAAACAGTGGATGGTGCCTAGCAACACTAACCTTCATCCCACATCACATCGGCTAGGAAACAGTGGCCGGTGCCTAGCAACACTAACCTTTACCCCACATCACATCGGCCAGGAAACAGTGGCCGGTGCCTAGCAACACTAACCTTCATCCCACATCACATCGGCCAGGAAACAGTGGATGGTGCCTAGCAACACTAACCTTCATCCCACATCACATCGGCTAGGAAACAGTGTTCGGTGCCTAGCAACACTAACCTTCATCCCACATCACATCGGCTAGGAAACAGTGGCCGGTGCCTAGCAACACTAACCTTCATCCCACATCACATCGGCCAGGAAACAGTGGCCGGTGCCTAGCAACACTAACCTTCACCCCACATCACATCGGCCAGGAAGTAGTGGCTGGTGCCTAGCAACACTAACCTTCATCCCACATCACATCGGCCAGGAAACATTGGCCGGTGCCTAGCAACACTAACCTTCATCCCACATCACATCGGCCAGGAAACAGTGGCCGGTGCCTAGCAACACTCGCCGGAAGCGCCTGAAAGCAGCACTGGTCCTCAGTTGCAGAGCACTCATCAACCTCTCCGCTCTCTCTTCGCGACTCAGTCCATCTTCCTGTGGAATAAAGGAAAATGTTTGTCAAGAATCATATTTGTGACTTTAGGACATGAGTTGACATCAGAAAGTATGGCCAATACAACCCAGCATGACGATGGGAAAGGTTTGTGCAGAGAAAGGTAAACAGTCGAACTTCGTTATTCAGGACGGCGGGTGTCACGTGACAGTCTTGTTTATGCATCAGAGTACTGATAAATATCTATAACGTCGGTTCATTCTTGTAGACGTAAAATGTTGAAGACGGTGAAAACAGAATTTAGAAAAATAGGTACACGAAAACTAATGGTGGGAAAAACAACTTTACAATCAGTTGCTCAGGATCTAGTGTCCGTGGAATCGAATGCAAAAGGCGGCGGTGGATTCGCCAAGTGTTTAATGCGTTCGCTCGTCACGCCGAAACTCGGTTTCGATTCCCCACATGGGTTCAATATGTGAAGCCCATTTCTTGTGTCCCCGTCGTTCTTGTGTCCCCGTCGTGATAGTTCCGGAATAGTGGTGAAAGCAGCGTGAAACTGAACTCACTCACTCACTTGAATGCAAATGATGTTACGACTATCAGCATGGTGGCACGTGACCAGCAAAACCTGTTTATTCCTCTAGAACCTTAGCTGGTTTAATATTTTAATCTTTCCTCAAACATTAAATGCTGTTCAAAACCATCTCGCACTCATTTTGCATGCAAGGTGAGCTTCAGTACCCGGACATATTTCAGAGATTGTTGTGAGGGTTTTTTTGCATTAGAAACATCCAATCGTCCTATATACGCATGCCGTATAATATAAAACTGTTCGTCCTCTTTCTTATGTTCAGACGCCAGAATTGATTTTTCAAGCTGGCATTTCACACTCGTCTCATTCAGCACTGTAGGGGCCATGATGATTATACCTCGACAATAGCATGGATCACGATCGTGTCTGAATGTAACGCGCAAGGCCTAATGAAGTCTGTTGCATTATGTTAAAATCCCTTCGGCCGGTGAGGTGATTCCCGTACAATACACCTGTTTGCCAATCGCTTTCTAATACACACACCTACCTGTCAGGTTATAACCGTACATAGGTGACTTTTGAACATACCTGTACAATAGGTACAGAGTGATTTACCGTACCCGTATTGAAGCTTAATACCCAGTCCGGTTATCTGTGGCGATCGTGTTTCAGCAAAACTTGAGACAAGTGTTCAGTATGGCCTATAATGTGTTCTAGTATGTCTGGCTGTACACTGATGTTTGTACTGAGCGTTTAAAGTAGCTGGCTGAAGAGCTGATATGTGTGATAAATGGTCGGTGCCCCCTGTTAAACAAGGTTTGAGGAAGTTCGGCATGGCTCGTGAAAATTGAAATGACTATTTACTTACGTTAATATGTTCAGCATGCTTTGACGAGGCCATAAATTCACGGAACGTTCATTGTATGTGGCTGTACTGTTTGTTGATACATGGACTGAGCTAACGTTAACTCGAGTCGTGAAAGGTACCAATTTGTACAGCTGTCACTGACGATATATATACAATATCCGTTTCATTTTAATAGCGCTACTTAATCCTGAGGGAAAAAACAAGACAACAGTATGTATGACACGCAAAGAATACAAATGCTCATTGTAGGATCAGGGTGTTGTTTAGGTGTGTAGAGGTGTTGCGGTGGCTCCATTTCTGAGAGACCTGTGTACAAATAAAGTGATATAAGTATATATCCACCAGGCTCTGTGAGTGACGACTGCCACATATTGATTAATATATCCACCAGTGTATGTGAGTGACGACTGCCACACTGTGATGTATATATCCACCAGTGTATGTGAGTGACGACTGCCACACTGTGATGTATATATCCACCAGTGCATGTGAGTGACGACTGCCACACTGTGATGTATATATCCACCAGTGTATGTGAGTGACGACTGACACACTGTGATGTATATATCCACCAGTGTATGTGAGTGACGACTGCCACACTGTGATGTATATATCCACCAGTGTCTGTGAGTGACGACTGCCACACAGTGATGTATATATCCACCAGTGTCTGTGAGTGACGACTGCCACACAGTGATGTATATATCCGCCAGTGTCTATGAGTGACGACTGCCACACAGTGATGTATATATCCACCAGTGTCTGTGAGTGACGACTGCCACATAGTGATGTATATATCCACCAGTGTCTGTGAGTGACGACTGCCACCGTGATGTACACTGTGATGTATATATCCACCAGTGTCTGTGAGTGACGACTGTATATATCCACACTGTGATGTATATATCCACCAGTGTCTGTGAGTGACGACTGCCACACTGTGATGTATATATCCACCAGTGTCTGTGAGTGACGACTGCCACACTGTGATGTATATATCCACCAGTGTCTGTGAGTGACGACTGCCACACTGTGATGTATATATCCACCAGTGTCTGTGAGTGACGACTGCCACATATTGATGTATATATCCACCAGTGTCTGTGAGTGACGACTGCCACATATTGATGTATATATCCACCAGTGTCTGTGAGTGACGACTGCCACACTGTGATGTATATATCCACCAGTGTCTGTGAGTGACGACTGACACACTGTGATGTATATATCAACCAGTGTCTGTGAGTGACGACTGCCACATATTGATGTATATATCCTCCAGTGTCTGTGAGTGACGACTCACACACTGTGATGTATATATCAACAAGTGTCTGTGAGTGACGACTGTCGAGTGATGTATATATCCACCAGTGTCTGTGGTGACGACTGACACACTGTGATGTATATATCCACCAGTGTCTGTGAGTGACGACTGCCACATATTGATGTATATATCCACCAGTGTCTGTGAGTGACGACTGCCACATATTGATGTATATATCTGTGGAGTGACGACTACCAGTGTCTGTGGGTGACGACTGCCACATATTGATGTATATATCCACCAGTGTCTGTGAGTGACGACTGCCACATATTGATGTATATATCCACCAGTGTCTGTGAGTGACGACTGCCACATATTGATGTATATATCCACCAGTGTCTGTGAGTGACGACTGACACACTGTGATGTATATATCAACCAGTGTCTGTGAGTGACGACTGCCACATATTGATGTATATATCCTCCAGTGTCTGTGAGTGACGACTCACACACTGTGATGTATATATCAACAAGTGTCTGTGAGTGACGACTGCCACACAGTGATGTATATATCCACCAGTGTCTGTGAGTGACGACTGACACACTGTGATGTATATATCCACCAGTGTATGTTGGTGACGACTGACACACAGTGATGTATATATCCACCAGTGTCTGTGAGTGACGACTGCCACATATTGATGTATATATCCACCAGTGTCGGTGAGTGACGACTGCCACATATTGATGTATATATCTACCAGTGTCTGTGGGTGACGACTGCCACACTGTGGTGTATATACCCACCAGTGTTTGTGAGTGACGACTGCTACATAGTGATGTATATATCTACCAGTGTCTGTGGGTGACGACTACCACACTGTGGTGTATATACCCACCAGTGTTTGTGAGTGACGACTGCCACACAGTGATGTATATATCCACCAGTGTCTGTGGGTGACGACTGCTACATAGTGATGTATATATCAACCAGTCTCTGTGAGTGACGACTGCCACACAGTGATGTATATATCCACCAGTCTCTGTGAGTGACGACTGCCACACAGTGATGTATATATCAACCAGTGTCTGTGAGTGACGACTGCCACATATTGATGTATATATCCACCAGTGTCTGTGAGTGACGACTGACACACTGTGATGTATATATCAACCAGTGTCTGTGAGTGACGACTGCCACATATTGATGTATATATCCACCAGTGTCTGTGAGTGACGAGTGACGACTGCCACACTGTGATGTATATATCTACCAGTGTCTATGGGTGACGACTGACACACAGTGATGTATATATCCATCAATTCCAGTGTGCATGTCCGCCAAGGGCTACTCCAGATGATCACACACGTTGACGCTATTGACAGATGCTTGCCCTCAGGAAACTAATGTTCAAAGAGATAACCAGTGGATTAATCCTGCATTAACCACGCTGATTGTACACTGACCGACGAGGTGCCCGGCCTATATATTCAGAGTAAACCTGCCCCAGCGTGTGTAGCCAGGATGCACCAGTAAATGAGTTATCTGAAAGCCTGACATATTACCATTACAATATCCCCATTCAGGAAATTAATTCCTAAATGAATGAGTTCCTTTTGAAATATTGCATTGCGATGATGGCGGGCTCAACGTGAACGGATTTAATTTGTTTAAGTTGTTGTTTGGGTTTGTTTTTCTAATTTAGTTCCTTAGGGTGTGGTGGTGGTAGGGGGTGGGTTATGGGGGTCGTGTGTCCTGGTGGAAGGAGAGCTGTATTTATTAGTGTCAGGAAACTCTCTACACCATTTCATGATCTCGTTTTGAGCAATTTTTAGCAATCTCTTATTTTAAACTAAGAAATACGACCTTTACAGTGACAGTTATTTGACAAAACTGGAACTTGGATCAAAAACATATTCACACTTTAAAGCTAAAAAGACGCCATACTTCCAGTGATTACCCCAGGGAGGACATATGTATACCTTTGAAACATATCCACGGAATGCTGCTGACAGAAAACACAATCCACGACCTAATTCTTTATGTTCACTTATGTAGCTCTGGCACCGTTCGATGTAAATCTGTTTCCCCGACAGGGATGAAACATTCGTTGCTTGGCAACCACATTAATAAACATCCCCACAAGACACCAATAAGATCAGAACCGTTTCAGGTAACTTTGATCTGTTGCCATGGTAATGGATGTTTTCGTGTTGTATTGATTTTGTTTGATTTAGGACAGAGCAGTAATGATAGTTTGTTAAACTATCTGAAGCCCAGGTGTTCGTGCTCGCGATCAGTACCACGTACCGGCATTGACTTGTATATAGTTTCAGTAATGAACAAGCTGCTTACAGTGGCATGTGACTTAGAGAA